CCCCCCCCCGAATCAGCATTTGCCTCACAGTCTCTCACTAACCCCTGACCATGACTCAGCCTCTCCCATACAGTTTCTTACTGACCCCTGACATTGAGGTTCAGAAATCTATCATGTGGGAAGTTTCTTTCAAAATTTCAGTTGAGAAGGACTGGCTTTTGAGCAAGAAAGGGAACTGTCAGTTGTTGAGAGTTGGAACTGCTGATTCTGGTCTTGATGTGGTTTTTCTGTGAGCTTTTTAAAGCACAGATCAGAACTGACCGTTGCTGAGAGTGAAAGCTGACATTAGAGCACTTGCAGGTCTCTGAATAATAGAGCTGCTCCTCCAAAATAAGGTTCTGTCTTTCCTGCCCTCACTGCTCCTCCAATCTCTCCTGTCCTTTATGCATCTCCCGTTGACCACGCAGACCAGCGTCTGTGCTGCACAATTTGAGAGGACGTCCTCTGCCAGGCTGAGGAAACGACAGGGAAAGAGAAAGAACAGGGCGGGTTTTCTACCAGTGACGAATCGGGGCAGAGCTGTCATTCAGAGCCCTGGAGAATGTAATGAGGGATTACATTGAGAAAAAGCTTGTACAAGTCTGAACCTGGCTGCCATCTGTGTCTGCAGTGCAATCTACTCACAATTGGATGGAACTAATTGGTCCCATTTGCTTTTTGTGATCTTATTTTGAGATAGGCGAATGGAGTGTTTGGTGTGTGACGTAATCACAGCTCATTACAGAGTTGATCATATGTGGGGAGGGGTCTGTTATTAGTGATGGAAAGTAGCAATTTTGTTGTTCCCTCCATAAACTACTGCTTCTGCGGAAATTAGGAAGCAACTCATCTCACTACTTCTCCCAAGAAAGCCATAGAAGCAGGACATTACTGCAATATGAGGCAGATTGTGAGATTTGCTGCTTAGGAAGGTTGCGTTTCCTGGAGCTTCACAGTAGGGATTGATTTAAATGCTCTTTCGTTTCCCTCACCAACAGCCAGTTGGATTGAATGGCTGCCTGTCTGACTGTCAGGTAGGCAGCTGGCGAATAGAGTGCAGTGAAGTGGACATTGCTGTGAGGGGTGTGGGAATTGGATGCAAGTTAAGTATCAGATATTAGAGATGGGGGACAGAAAAAAAAGGGAAATGTAGAGGAGTTGGACAAATCTCTTAAGCCATTTGCAACAAACAAGGTGCTGACCATACTCCGTCAGCCCACACTTGTAAAATGAGCAACAGAGTGTCTGATACTGAATGCAATTCTGAAGTTCGAAAATATTTGCTAGATAATTGAGTGTAATTCTTTACACACTGATCAATTTCAGATTATCAGTCAGACACTCAATATCGTGCATTTGCACATGCTGGGAGCTACATTTTGTCCATACATTCTGCAGACAGGCAGAACTTGTGCATCCGCTGTGCCTGTTTAAATTCAACAAAACCGGTCACAGCTGGTTATTGGTTTGTTTCTCACGACAAATCCGAAGCATAGCAGTTAACTGTCGATAATCATTAACTGCTGCATTCACCATGCAATGCCTCTACCAATCTGAATATACTTTCCAACCAATTAAAAGTCACGTCTTATAAATGTTGGTTCTCCCTTCTTTTTCATTCTTGAAAAATGTTGTGATGTGTGCAAGACAAAAAATTTTGACAAACTGTTTTGTTTCAGCAATTTTCATGTTTATCTGATGATTTATGTATGTTGGTCTAGAACACTTGAATTTTAATATACCAAATCTACCGTGTTCCTATGTTTTTGTTTATTTTGCTGGTGTCAGGGTCATGTTAGTTTTCCAACCTCTCTTTTTAATGCATTTATTCATAGGATCTGGGTGCCGCTGCTGAGGCTAATGTTTGTTATCCATCTCCAATTTCCCTGGAGAATGTAGTGAGTTAAAATGGGGTTACCTTGGAAAATAATTTGTGACACCCTGCCATAGTCATTTGCTTGCACATAATCCAGTGAGGTGATGATCGGTTGTTGCTGTTGTGTGGTCTTTGTCCCGTTTGACAAACACTAGTTCAGATCACTCTGGTGATTTGGTATGACTGCAATGGTCTTTACAGTGGTAGAAAATAAACAAAGGGAAAAGTCATGTTTCCATGCGTGAATCAAATAATGTGACCAATATTTGAAGTGGCCATGAAGCACTTACATTAACTACAGATTTTAAAGTAGAATAGTAGCATGGTTACTACTTACAAAAAATTTTCAAACCTTTTGTGTCTCTGGCCACACATTTCCATCAACTCCCTCAAACCCTTCAACGATCCTGACTCTCCTCCCTGCCCTGCCCTGCCCTGCCCTCAGCGCTCATTCTGAGCCTGCTCTGCCCCACCCGAACCCTCTGCTGTCACACTGAGCCTGCCTTGACTTGCCCTCAGCTCCCATACCTAGCCTGCCCTGTCCTACCCTCAGCTCCCACACTGAGCCTGCCCTGCTCTGCCCTTCCTTCCAGCTTTTACGCCAAGGCCGAATCCTTTCACATCATATTTTTAGACCTTTTTTTTGACTTTGGCTGTACAATCCCGCCCCCAGCCACATATACCTATCCAAATGCCTTTAAATGTTGTAATTGTACCATCCTCCACCACTTCCTCTAGCAGCTCACTCCATACACACACTACTCTCTACCTTAAACCTATGCCCTGTAGTTTTGGACTCCTCTATCCTAGGAAAAAGACCTTGGCTACTCACCCTATTCATGCCCCTCATGATTTTATAAACCTCTATAAGGTCACCCCTCAGCCTCCGACTCTCCACGGAAAATAGCCCCAGCCTATTCAGCCTCTCCCTATAGTTCAAACCCTTGAATCCGGCAAAGATGGCAGCAGAGAAGGACATTCCGGTCGGGGCTACTCTGCTCAACTCCTTTTCTTCTTTGCTTTTTTTCTTCTTTTTTTTTTCCCCTTTCTCCAGCCCCAACCATCACCACCACTCCCGCACCCCGGAGTGTGGACTTGCGGAGTGAACGGGCTGAGACCCGCGGTGGGCCAGAGCACGCAGTGTAGCCTTGTGCTCAGCGGCCTGCAGGCACAGCCTGCGAGCCCCAGAACGCTGCGAACAGTGAGCCCTGGAGTAGCACGTGGGCCACAAGCCCAGAGCAACACGGAGAAGAAGCCCCCAGATCGGTGTGCAAGCAGCAAATCCTGGACAGAGACCAGTGTGTGGGGACAATCCTGACCTTAGAACACTGCAATGTTAACCCCTTAATATACCCCTTAATATGTTCCTATTTTTAACTTATTTTCAACTCTGTAATTAAGCAATTACTTCTATTCCTCTGCTGAATCCAATAATTGTGCCTAGGTACTTGTACATTTTTGTCACCATAAGAAGGCAGACACTGTAAAGTTTTTCATTGTACTCCTACAATAGAATATACGTGACAACAAAAGGATAGTGTATTGTATTGTAATATCCTTGTAAATCTTTTCTGAATCCTTTCGAGTTTAACAACATCCTTCCTATAGAATGGAGACCAGAATTGCACACAGTATTCCAAAAGTGGCCTAACCAATGTTCCTTAAAGCCACAACATGACTTCCCTACCCGTATACTCGATGCACTGACCAATAAAGGCAAGCATACCAAGTGCCTCCTTCACCACTCTGTCTACCTGCAGCTCCACTTTCAAGGAACTATGAACCTGTACCCAAAGGTCTTATTGTTTGGCAACACTCCCAAGGATCCTACCATTAATTCTATAAATCCTGCCCTGACTTGCCTTACCAAAATATGACACCTTACATTTATCTAAATTAAACTCCATCCGCCACTCTTCGGCCCATCTGTTCAAGATCTCATTGAACCATGAAGTAGCCGCGTACACTACTCACTACACCTCCAATTTTGGTGTCATCTGCAAACTTGCTAACCATTTTCACAACCAAATGATTTGTATAAATGACGAAAAGCAGTGGACCCAGCACCGATCACCACTGGTCACAGGCCTCCAGTTCAAAAGGTTAACAGAAAAATAGAACTACTAAACAGCAACTACTCCAATATAGTAAACACACCCTTCGCAAAGGCCATGTCAGTAAAACAGATTATCTCACGTGCGATTCCGGCAGCAGGAAGAGAATCCAAGCTTCGAGCTGTAACAGACCAAAAGATGTAGCAGCTTTGACAACTAGCTTCAAAAACCTCAGCAACTGCTGAAAGCTAAATTAAAACCCTAGCTCTGTGGGAGCCTGACTTCACCCATTTATGCTGCTTCTATTATTCTAACATTTAAAAAAAACACTCCAGGACCCCTCAAGCTGTTTACTTTATTAGCTTGCAGCAGACCACAATGTACCTGTCTCAACCTTTCTTCGTAAAATAAAACAGGACACATACACCTCTTAATTTGAAATATTGTCACACTAAGAAAAGTTGCTTCTCCTGCTTCTCTTACAGTCCCTCCTCAACCCTAGACTATGATCTGTGAGATTACTTGCCTAAGATATAGGACTAAGCAGCCTCCTCCACTCACTATATAGAGGACTGGAGATCTCTTTTTATTCCCACTTTCTCCCTGCTTTTTCTTCCACCAAGAGGCAGCACGGTGGCTAAGTGGTTAGCACTGCTGCCTCATAGCGCCAGGGACCCAGGTTCAATTCCACCCTCGGGAAACTGTCTGTGTGGAGTTTGCACATTCTGTGTGGGTTTCCTCCGGGTGCTCTGGTTTCTTTCCACAGTCCAAAAATGTGCAGGTTAGGTGGATTGGCCATGCTAAATTGCCCTTAGTGTTCAGGGATGTGTAATTTAGGTGGATTAGCCATGGTAAATGCAGGGTTAAAGGGAAAAGAGTAGGGGATGGGTCTGGGTGGGATGCCCATCGGAGGGGCGGTGTGGACTTGTTGATCCGATTGGCCTGTTTCCACACTGTAGGGATTCTATGATCCTACGAACTTCTTTCCACTCTCTTCCCATGCATTGCTCTTTTTTCCTGGATTCTGAGAGTAATTGCCGAAAAATTCAATTCTTAACACAGCCAGAGTAACCTGCCCTTTATATTCCCAGGTGTATCGCCATGGAGACCGATCACCGATCCATACATTCAAAACAGATCCGTATAAACCGAAGGACTGGCCGCAAGGCTTTGGACAGCTTACACAGGTCAGTGGTCTCTGTCACACACTCGCTTCCCCTTGCAGTCTCTCCTATCTACTCTCAGAGACAGGGTTGCTGATCACTGAAGCTGTGTGTTAGATCAGGGGAACCTGGATGCTACTTGTAATGGTATGGTGGCTCAGTACAGAGGAACTCACATGGGCATCTAACTGATGCTGTATCAGCATGATGTATTTATTGCTGTTCTCGGTATAGTTAACTGGGCTATAAGATGACATTGGTGGGCTCTCTGTGTTTGCTGCTATAAAAGTGTCTTCAGTTTGATATTAGGGTGGATAGGTACGTGCCACACTGAGCTGGGAACCCCAATAGTTCACGTCCCCATCAGTCTGTCTCTTTTCTCCTCTGACGGTGCTGACATTTTATAGGGAATATAGTCGCAAAGATAACAGCACCACCACCCCCCACCACCACCGCCCCTCCCCATCAACCGATTCCTTCACCGGTCTGATTCTAGACATGAGAAGCTAAGGGGTTTAATATACCATGTGTGGTGTAGTCCCTACCCCATCACAATAGAAACCCCCGATATCTAGGCAACACTGCCTGGACAACCCTGACTGGCCTCCTTTGCTTTGTCTCAAGGACACTGAGGCTAATTCTGTTTTGCAGTTCCCACAGGGGAACCTTGGGACCTAGTATTTATCCTCCGCTCTGGGATTCACTGATTTGTGAAGGGAGCAGGCCCTCTGTGCTAGACTGAATCTGGAGATGGAGAAAGTTGTTGTCGGTGTGAATCCCACCCTGTGATTGTAAACTGACATCTGGTGTTGACTGATCTCCAGTAATGACCAGGGATTTCTGCTGCTCTTTTCTAGGTTGGGATGAGGCAGCAGTATGAGCTGGGCCAGTTTCTGCGAGAACGTTATAAGGATTTCCTCAACTCCTCATATGACCGGCAAGAGGTGAGGGGTTTTGTGGAGGAGAGTAAAGGATGACCGATTGAGTGATGGTGTGTTTGAAGTATGAGTGATGAGGGGGCTGGGTGTGGGAGGTTCAGTGAGCAACTGAATGAGTGAGGAGCTCAGTGAGGGCTAAACAATCCACTGTCAAATGAGGTCACAACTCCACGTTGATTGCCAGAGAGGGCACATGATGAGTTTTTCTTGTTTGTGTTCCACGGGTAACTTGTGTTTAATGGCTCCAACACCCGTTATTACACTGTCATTTGATAGTGCCTATTGGTCACTTTGGCAAATCTCCATGCGAGGAGGCTAACCAGTTGTAATTTCTCCTGTGTGAACAATCCATATCGAGCAGTCCACTCAAAAGTGTCAGTCACTCTAATTCTGCGTTCTGCAAAACAGTACAAACTCTTCTACCAAAAGGGCGTTAGGTACAGGCACTCTTGCAATACTTAACAGCTATTTAGATAATTACTTAAAGCGTCATAGCATCCAAGAGAATGAGCTAAATGCTGGAAAATGGGATTAAGTAGATAGGTACTTGATTACCAATGCTGACACGATGGGCTGAATGGCCTCTTTCCATGCTGCAAAAGTCTATGACCTTTGGAATAGGTTAGCAACAAGAGGCTGAGTCAAGTGTTGCTATCTGACTATGCTGAAGTTGTGGAATACATTTCTTGGTTTGGCAGTAAAGTGGAAGAAATAACTCAGGTCTGGAAATAATCAGGTGTAATTCTGCTGCAAAAATCCCACTCGGATTGGGTAAGAAGGTGAGTTGCAATGATTAGATAGTATATCGACAATGAACAGCCTTGATGGGCTTAATCGCTCTTTTATGTTCCTATAAATAGAATGCTTTCTCTCTGCTGTAGATTTACATTCGGAGTACAGATATTGACCGGACTCTGATGAGTGCCGAGGCAGATTTGGCTGGTCTCTACCCTCCACATGGACAACAGGTCTTCCTTACCAATCTTAACTGGCAGCCAATCCCTGTGCATACAGTACCAACGACAGATGACAGGGCAAGTATGCCAAATACCATGGCTGAAAGGCAACGGTGTCCCTGTGGAGAGGGCTGGGGTGAGAGGGGGGTAGAGAGCTGGACCCTGGGGGTGGGAGTCCCTGGGCCTGGGCCTGTGAGCAAAGAGGGGGAGGTTGATGACCCTGGCACTGAGTCTGTAGGAGGGAAAGGTCAGATATTGAGCCTGTCAGTGGAACTGAATCAATGTGAATCATTTCAGTTGTTGCTGTACCCATTGAAAAACTGCCCTCGCTTTGAGCAGTTGCAGAATGAGACGAAGAATTGTTGGGAATACAAGAAGACCATGCAGGATAACCAGGTGAGTGTCAAGCGCAGATAGCGAACGAGTCTGTCTAATCTCTGTAATACCAACCACCTGGTCACACACTCCCTCTCTCCTAGAATATCTGTCCTCTTTTCTCTGCTTCATTCCTTATTCTGTCTTAACTCACACCTTCAAGACTTGTGCCTCTTGCATCTCTTTCTCTTAAGAGCAGATGCTCTTAAATGTGCTAATTATTTACAGTACTTCCTGTTTTCCTTTCATGGTGATAATGAGAGACACCCCCCTCTGGGGGCTGCAGTGGTGATTATCACATTACAGTCCCCTCAGAGGGAGAGTTAACAGAGATTTTGCAGAGTCGTTCCCTCTGTGACTACCCCTCTGGGTTTAAAGAACCACACAATCCCTTCAGTGTAGAAAGATGCTATTTGGCCTATCAAGGCTGTACCACCCCTCCAAAGAGCATCCTACCCAGATCCACCACCCCTGTTCCTGTAACCTCGCATTTCCCATGGCTAATCCACCTAATCTACACATCTTTGGACTGTGGGAGGAAACTAAACTCAAAGCTGTAAACTTTTACAGTGAGCACATTATGTAAAATGAAAACCTGTCCACCCGGAGGAAACCCACGTAGACACTGGGAGAATCTACAAACTGCACACAGACAGTCACCCGAGGGTAGAATCGGAACCTGGCCCTGTGAGACTGCAGTGCTAACCACTGAGCCACCAGTGTAATGTTAATTATCACAGAGACCTGCCTCTGAGGAGGCTGTAACAGTGATTGTCGCAGACACTCTACCTTTGGGAGTGTCATGGTGATTACCACAGAGACTTTCACTCTAGGCATGTAACATACCTTTGACGGGGTGGTAAGGGTGATCACTTCCAGAGACCCTGCCTCTGGAATTATAAGTGATTATCAGAGAGACCCTCCCTCTGAGGGGACTGTAATGGAGAATGTCACAAAGACCCTTCCCCTGGGACTGTGTATTGGTGATTCCTGCAGAGGTCCTCCATCACAGACTGTAACAGTGGGGTGGCATGGTGATTCAGTGGTTAGTGCTGCTGCCTCACAGTGCTTGGGACCCAGGTTCAATTTTTGAGTGACTGTCTGTGTGAGTTTGCACATTCTTACCATATCTGCATGGATTTCCTCTGGGTGCTCTGGTTTCCTACCACAGACCGAAGATGTGCAAGTGGATCGGCCATGCTGAATTGCCCATTGTGTCCAGGGATGTTAGGCGGATTAGCCATAGGGAATGCGGGGTTATAGGGATAGGGTAAGGGGTGGGTCTGGGTAGGATGCTTTTCACAGGGTCAGTGTGGACTCGAATGGCCTGCTTCCACACTAGGGATTCTATGAACAGTGAGTATCACTGAGACACTCCCTCTGGGACTGTATAGTGATTATCGCAGAGATCTCCCTATGGAACTGTAATAGAACATAGAACAGTACAGCACAGTACAGGCCCTTCGGCCCACGATGTTGTGCCGAACTTTTACCCAAAACCTGAGGTCTATCTAACCTCCACCCCTACCTTATACTATCATCCATATGCCTATCTAATAGCCGCTTAAATGGCCCTAATGAGGCCGACTCCACTACCCTCTCCGGCAATACATTCCACGCCCCTACCACTCTCTGAGTAAAGAACCTACCTCTGACGTCTCCCCGATATCTACCTCCTTTCACTTTAAAACTATGTACCCTCGTAAAAGCTACCTCCACCCTAGGAAAAAGTCTCTGGCTATCTACGCTATCTATACCTCTGATCATTTTGTACACCTCTATTAAGTCACCTCTCATCCTTCGTCTTTCTAGAGAGAAAAACCCTAGTGCTCTCAACCATTCCTCGTAAGACCTTCCTTCCATTCCAGGAAACATCCTGGTAAATCTCCTCTGCACCTTTTCCAATGCTTCCACATCTTTCCTGTAATGAGGTGACCAGAACTGGACACGCTACTCCAGATGTGGCCGAACCAGGTTTTTGTATAGCTGGAGCATAACTTCACGGCTCTTGAACTCAATCCCTCTATTAATGAAAGCTAATAGTGATTATCATGGAGATAATCCCTCTGGAACCACAACAGTGACTATTGCAGAGATCCTTCTCTGATGAGCAGTAATGATGATTAGAGCAGAGACCCTGTCTAGGACTATAATGGTGATTATCGCAGAGATTCTCTCGCTCGCTCGCTCTCTCCCTCCAATGTCAACACCATTCTTGTGCCCGTTAATGTGGATGTTTTGATATGATGTGTTCTGTTTACTGGTTGCTGATGCAGGACTTCCTGAAGACACTTGCTAAAAACACTGGAACTCCCTTTGCGAACATGTCACTGTTTACTGTGTGGATGATTTACGATGTTCTGTTCTGTGAGGTGAGTGACAAAGTTATGATGAACTGATTTGTTTTGTGGGATTGCAAACTGAATGTGGCGGGAGTGGAGGTTGAGCATGATACATAACATACACACAGGCTTGTGTATATGTGCACACGTGCCTTCCCTTCAGAGTGACAATTACATCACATTTCCCACTCACATGGTTTACCTCTACTTTGCCTCCACACTGAAGTTTCAGTCTGACTGCGCATCAGGTTTCTCATCACCTGAATTTAACAGAGTAGAGAGTGAATGGAGTTCATATAAATTCTGACTAGTTTGTCACCTGTCTCTGACAATAATCAAAACCAGAACATATTGCACAGCCTTAAAATGGGCTAAGGTGTTCTATAGCCATTGAAACCTCTTTGGTCTGTTGCCACTGCTATTATGTTGGAAATGCTGCAGCTAATTTGTATACAGAAAGATCCCAAGAGCAGCCAAGTGACAGTGGCTGCAAATTTCAGAGAAGGTATGTGTAATCTACCCCAGACAGGAGAAGGATGATTTGGTTCCCCTGGTTTCTTAATTCATTTCTATCTAACTGCAACACAATGTGTATTAAAGAAGGTTTTAACCCTGGAGTACCGTGACCTCAAGAACAGACACAAAATAGCTTTTCTGATAAGCTTAAAAGAAAGGACTTGTGCTTATTTCTCAACCTCAATTCAAATCACTAAGGTGCCCGTTCACACAGGACACGTGCCCAAGTCCAGCTGATTACAGAAGAGGTTGCATGCACCTAGTAAAGTTCAAAAAGTCACTCATTATTATCTTTTGAGATGAAACCTGGAAGTGTTACAGGCCTGATAATTTATTTTTAGTTCAGTGACAATGATGGTGGTTGAAGTTTTCTGGGGATAAATTTTTTGGGTGGGATCTCTTCTATCTTTGCTGTCTGTCTCCCAGACTGACTAACGTACATCCTGAGAGTAGCCTCAGATATAGAAATTGTATTTATTAACAAGCTTTCAGGTGACCATGTTATCGGTGTTCCCAGAGTCTACATGGATAGTCCCTGACGACATGAACATTGATGCACAAGAGAGAGGGAGGGGATTGAAATTTGGCCACTTGCATCACCTTGTGATAGAATTGGATTTTCTTGGCCTTTATTCTGTGAATTCTCTTCTGGCACTATTTTTGTGGAATCATTGTGCATCAGTTTCAAAAGAAGCGGTTAACTTTATAGGAGTAAACCTATTGCGTTTATAATATCTCCTCAAAGGAATGTTCCATAAGGTAGTTTACATTTTAATGTCCTCAAGGCTGGTATTTAATCTGCCAACCTGGACAAGACACTAAAATTTAAGAAATATTTAGCTGTGTACCTTGCAACGCCAAGGGCATACAAGGCTTTGGCTTAAGTGCTGGAAAATAACATTACAATAGTTAGGTGGTTGTTTTTGATTGGTGTGGCTATGATGGGCTGAAGGGTCTTTTACTATGCTGCAGATCTCTATGATTTAATGACTAAAAGGACAAGGGCAGCAGATACATTGGAACACCACAACCAACAAGTTCCCTTCCAAGCAACTCACTATTCTGACTTGGAAACATATCACTGTTCCTTTTGTGTCACTGGACCAAATTCTTGGAACTCTCTCCCTAACAACATTGTACATCTATCTACATTCCAAGGGTTGCAACTATTTAAGAAAACAACTCACCACCGCCTTCACCAAGACAATTAGGGATGGGTAATAAATGCTGGCCTAGCACCAAGCAAGTCCTGTTTGCAAGTGCACAGCGAAATATTTCTTAAATGTTATTATGGTTTCTGCCCCAACCACCCTTTACAAGCAGTGAGTTTCAAATTCCTTCTGGATGAAAACGATTTTCCTCATCTCCTCTACACCTTGTGTGTGCGAGATCATTGCTCAAAAATTTGTTCGAGTTCTTTGATGAAGTGACCATGAAGGTTGTTGAGGGCTGTCCTCCTTATTTTTTTACCAACCCAGATGGTCTTATTCTCTTAGGGCGGCACAGTGGCTCAGTGGTTCGCACTGCTGCCTCACAGCACCAGTGACTGGGGTTCAATTCCACCCTCAGGCGACTGTCTGTGTGGAGTTTGCACATTCTCCCCGTGTCTGCGTAGGTTTCATCCGGGTGCTCCAGTTTCCTCTCGCACTCCAAAGATGTGCGGGCTAGGTGGATTGGCCATGCTAAATTGCCCATAGTGTTCAGGGATGTGTAGGTTAGGTGTGTTAGCCATGGGAAATGCAGGGTTACAGGGAAAGGTCAGAGGGATGGGTCTGGGTGGGACACTGTTTGGAGGGCCGATGTGGACTTGTTGGGCTGAATGGCCTGTTTCCACACTGTAAGGATTCTATGATTGGTATTTGTTGTGAGCTTGGAAGGGGCAAGGATCTTTGGTGAATTTCTGCAGTGCACCTTATAAGATAGTAGCAGCAATGTGTACTGAGCATTGGTAGAGGGAGTGGATGCTTGTGGTTGTAGTGCCAATCAAGCGGGCTGCTTTGACCTAGATAGTGTCATGCTTCTTGCCTGTTTTTGGGGCTGCACTCATCCAGGCAAGTGGGGAGTATTCCATCACTCTCCTGACTTGTGTCTTGTAGATGGTGGACAGGCTTTGAGGAGTCAGGAAGTGAGCTACTCACTGCAGGATTCTTAGCTACTGACCAGTTCTTGTAGCCACAATATTTAAATGACTAGTCCTGTTCAGTTTTTGGTCAATGGTAAACCCCGGGAGAATTCAGTGCTGGTGCTGCCGTAGAATATTGGGGATGAATTGGTGGTGGTTGGATTCTCCTTCATGAAAATGGCTGTTGCTTTGCATAAAAGTTACTTGCCACTTATCAGCCTAGACCTGGATTGTGTTTGGACATGGATTGGTTCAGTATCTGAGGCATTGCAAATAGTTTAAAGTGTTTGAGAAGACTGGTAGCACAGGTTGTGGTTCGGGTTGTTGATTTGTTTAACGAGCTACCTACCAGCAAATCAACAATCCCAGTTGCAAATAGTGCTGAACATTGCCATTATCGGAGAATAATCCCCACTTCCGACCTTGTATTGGAGGGAAGATCATTGTTGAAGCAGCTGAATGTGGACTTAAGTTCAGAAGTAGGTGTGTCTTATTGCTGTTAAACCGGATCTTGGTGAGACTGCACCTCTAGTGTTGCGTGCAGTTTTGATCTCCCTAGCTAAGAGTGAATATACTTGCCATAGAGTGCAGTGAGGGTTTACTATGCTGATACTGGGGATGGCAGGACTATTCCATGAGGAGAGATTAGTTCAACTGTATTCACCAGAGTTTAGAAGAATAAGAAGGATCTGATTGAAATGTATAGAATTCTAACAGCCAAACAGACTACATGCAGGGAGGCTGTTTCTTTTGGGTGGGGAGTTGAAAACCAAGAACATAGAGCTAAATGGAATAAGAGAACTCAGGCTGGTATCCAGGACAGTGCACACCCTGGAAAGTCTGGTTTGGAACAGTTAAATTGCTTAGCAACATCCAAATTAGAACCAATCAAAATAAATGTCTGGTTTAATGGTCACCTAGTTCTTATGGAGGTCAATTCCAATGCAGCCGTATCAGTGATCACAGAACCAGTCTTTAACAAAATTTGCTCCGGACTGCAACCTTTAGGTTTGTGCAGACCCAAGATTGATGGGGCGAAATTAGTTGAGAAAGATTCACTTTGGCTCAACATTTTTCAATTAGAAAATGGCTGCCAGGGTGAAGTCCAAATAAATACCCAAAGTTTATCAGGAAGGCCTAGGGACTATCAAAGGAGCGAAGACCACCTTGCATGGTGACCAGGAAGCAATTCCGTCATTTTGCAAGGCCCACCCAGTTTAGAAGTCAGGAGGCTGGAAAGCATTCCAGTTGTGGAATGGGCAGCACCAGTCCTACTGACTGCGAAGGCCAACATGTTAATTTACCTTTGTGGGGATTTTTAACAAATGATAAACTGCTTTTCACAGCTGAATAAATATCCAATCCCTCGCATAGAGGATTTGTATGCAAAGCTGGCAGGAGGGCAGTCCTTCTTGGGCATTGTGTGGCACAGTAGCTCAGTGATTAACACTGTTGCCTAACAGCATGAGGGACTCTGGTTCAATTCCACCCTTGGGTGACTGTCTGTGTGGAGTTTGTTCTCCCCATGTCTGCGTGGGTTTCCTCCCAGTGCTCTGGTTTCCTCCCGCAGTCCAAAGATCTGCAGGCTAGGCTGGATGAGCCCTGGGAAATGCAGGGTTACAGGGATAGGGTAGGGAGATGGGTATGGGTGGGATCCTCTTCGGAGGGGCGGTGTGAACCTCAATAGGCCAAATGGCCTGCTTCCACACTCTGCATTCTATGGTCTGTTCTGTGACATGGTTTCAGGATGTGGGATACACCAGTTTGGACTGAGATGAGGAAACATTCATTTCTTTATTTGGAGGATGGTCAAATTTCTTACTACAGAAGGGTATGGAAATTGGGTTACTGAGTATATTCAAGAAAGATATTGATAAATTTTTAAGTATTCAAGGCATTAAGGGTCAGAGAGAACATGGGAATATGGTTTTGAGAAAGAACATTAGGTATGATCATATTGAGCAATGGAGTAGGCTTCAAGTCTCAAATTGCCTACTGCTCTGAGTTTCTAGACACTACCCTGAGGAACTACTGCAGAGATGTCTTGGGACTATGATGACTGACCTCCACCAATCACAGCCAAGTTCCTTTGTTTCAGGTATGACTCCCAACGATTAGAGAGGTTTTCCCTGATCCCCTTTGACACAGTACTCCGGAAGAGGCCTCACAACGACCGGTACAACCACAATATAATGTCCGAACTCCTATACTCAAAGGTCTGAGCAATGAAGGCATGCATGCTAAATGACCCTTTAACCACGCTATCCTATATGTGATGCAAACTTCAAAAGGATTATGTACTTGAACCTCTTGGTCTCTCTGGTTTTACATTTTCTTAAGTGGCATGGTGGGTTGTGGTCAGTGTATGAGGATTTTCCTTGTCTCTTGCTGA